AGCAATATCTGACTTTTGAGCCACATTCTTCTCCCTCTTTCAGCCTTTTTTTGAGGCTCTCTGTGCTTCAATTTATCAGTAACTGTTCCTTTACTGTAGATGTAATACCTTCAGTCAGTGTTCGGAAAGAAATCTGAACAGAAAGCTGCAGGCTATGGTTTTCTAGGAAGAGTCTGTATTTGTTAATTATTAGTCAAACATGTTGTAAACTGATTTATTTGCCCAAGATACAGAGATACTGGAAACAGTACAACTATGTATTCATCATTATGAAATGCTGGGTGCATTCTTTTGCAAGTGAGAAAGATTATAGTAGAGGTTTCAGAATAAACAGAATATACACGGTCCAATATTTTTAGTTCTGTATTTTTAACTTCTGAAATGAAAACAATGTGAGGAATGAGTACATGGTGTCACAGGAAGCTCTCTTTCCTTCGGGTTTCATTTAACTGTAACTAATGTCTTCTCCATATGATTGGAATCTATGTAACACTTAGATTGCATTTCATCTATATTTTCCTTCCTGATATGCAGGGCTCTATCACTGCAGTAAACTTATCCTGCATCCCCCATTTCAGTCTCATTCCCAGTGCCCTAGTTTAGCTTTATATGCTTCTTTTTGCCCTGTTTCACTGTGGACAAATTCAGAAAAAGTCCAGTGATATTCAGTATAAATTGTTACCCAAATATATCTTTTCAGGCTTGCATTTCTTTAGTGAAAATGAACTTGGCAATCATTGTAAATAGTGTAAAAAATACCCACTGATGAGTGCTCATATCTTTTTTAAAAGGAAATGGATGTATTAATAGAACCACAAAGAGCAGATATCAAAAGGTAAGTTTAACAGCCTTTAATACTCGATCTATGATTTCTAGGTTTTTGAACAGCAGACCTGAAGAAATATACACAGTATTGTTGCCAAAACTCAAAAGATTCAGAAAAAAAAAAAAGCAGCAAAGAACTTTGAAGTTCCTAGCAAAGATAGCACATAAGGCTAAATTACAAAAAATATCATAGATTCAAATTGGAACTGTTACAGCCAGTAAGCTGAACGAGCAGAGGTAAAAACCAGTCATCCATCTGTCTCCGTTTTGTAGTAAATGCGAGGAACCTGGAGAAGTTGATGGCAGACTGTTTTTCGGGAGTGAAGGGGATCTTTCCCTTTGTGACTTCAGCCGGCTGTTCAGTGCTGCGAGAGGTCATAGGATTGAAGGGCAGCTACTTTTGACAGCACAGCTGGCAGCACAGCTGGTTCGGATGCATTGCCGTGAATGGCGGAGACGTTAAGAGGGAATATGTGTATGTGTCTGTGTTTATATATATGGGCTTGTAGTCCAAATGTTCAAGTCTTTAATACAAGCTCTTGCCCGCAGTGCTTTTATTGGATCTGCCTCCCACACTATCCCCACCACAGCTAAAGGACTGCGGATGAGGGAAAATTCCAGACCACGGGGTTTTTATTTTGCTCTATTGCCGGCAGTCTTCTGTGTAGGAGTTAATAGAAAGACCAAGGTCACCAACATGCAATCACTCTACCTCACATAATAGGACATAAATCTTAGCCTTCAAAGTTGCTCTGTGTTTTCTTTATTAAATTTTGTTTATGAGACAAAAGTCTGGACAATGTTAAGTCTGTCACTGACTGCTATAGTGCATCAAATATAATGTGAGGAAAATGAGAAAAGACATGTTCATGGAAACTCAAGTGAAGTGTTTGCTGGAAATGATAAGACAGTTCTTTTCCTTATGTCTATGCAGCTCCATCCATTCCAGGAAATTGGCTCCTGATTTGCACTGCTATTAGAAAAACGCAAATCTTCTTTGTTATTACAGATCTTTGGAAATATTTTGGCAAAGTTATCTCCTTGCTCTGGAAACATAAGAAAGAAAAAAAACTACCATATGTGGTAAATGTTATCAGTCAGTCAGATTAAATGAAGGGGCATATCTGTGTTTTAAGTTACAAACCTTTGGTTTCACTTGGCTTTGTTTGGTGGAGTTTTTTTAATTTTCAACTTTGAAGACTTGCTGATGATAAACCAGAGGCAAGGGTTTTGCTTGGAATTGACGTGAGCTACTTTACAGAGGAATGAGAGGTCTTTTAAAGGAATGTGAAAACGTAACTTATGCTTCTGAACAGCTTTGTTCTGTGACACAAAACACTGTGCTGAAACTTAATAAAATCTATTTTTCCCAATTGTTGACATGTGTTTAAACCTTAAAAAAACCCCATGAATATATTCTATTGTGTTTCAGCAAATATTTTTGTTTTAGAGTAGTTTCCTTTGTAAACAAAAGTAGCCCTCTGTTCACTACATGAAAGCATGCATTGACTTATCTGTAACTATTTAGAAACAGTTAAACATGATACTTTTTCTCTACTGAAGATTAACCTATTCCAAGCATAACAGCTGTGCTAAACTTTTGAGTTAGGGTTCTAGTCCTGGTTTGCACCGTTCAGTACAAAAATATCTGATTTTTACCTATTTCAGCACTACCTGATGTCTACACTTGAGCTTCAAAAAACACCACACATTTGGCAGGAATTCAAACATTAACATCACTGTGGAGTAACAAATAAAAAACAGTTAAAAATGTTCAAGAATCTCTTTAAAGCTGATTCCCCAAGATTATTCCACAGACTGTCTTTCAAAAGTTTCCCTGATTTATCTGAATGAGCCATCACAAAAATCTCATTTCAAGTCGTCTTCCAGAGTACAGTCAATAGGTGAGACTCTGGGTGCTCAAGGTCATTCCCAGGATGGACAGCAGACTCCATCCCACCAGAAGACTGTGGCACCTTCCCTTGTCCTGGCTGCTGCAAGCAGATTGGAGTCAAGCCTTGGACCTGGACCCAGGGGGAGAATTGCAATACTGCTACCTTGTGCCAGGGAAATGAAGTGACTCTCAGCCAGTCTAGGAAGAAACCAGGACTTCAGACCCCAGTTCAGTCATTTGCCAGTAGACACAACTTAATGCATCAGAGAAACCATGTAATTGCATATCTCCAGTTTAAACTCTGCAACGTTACGGGCCATCCCTTTGAACTCAAATGAAAATTTAACCGGTGACTCCTTGCAAAAAATACATCACTGGTTTGTAATGGCTGCAATAGTCTATACTTATTACTCTTTATTATTAATGGATGCAATGCAGTAACAGCTTTTAAAGCAAAACCACTGCACCAAAGGTATTATCCTGCAATGTCATTTCTCTCCCATGTACTAATGGCAGAATAGGATTCATCATAGAATCGCAGAATGACAGAATAACGTGGGCTGGAAGGGACCTTTAAAGGTCATCTTG